CAATCCACTCACCTCAGCCTCCCAAAGGTGCGGGATTACAGGCTGAGCCACCAAGCTCGGAGAGTTAGTTCATTTGTTAACAGCCGTCACTGTCATAACCCCTCTCACTTACCCAGTGCCTACTGTGTGCCAGGTGCTTCTACCTGCATCATCTCACTGCACACCCTGTTGGTCCTTAATGCAGAGGCTGGTTTCTCTTCCTCTGTTTTGAGTGGTAGTTCCCTTGTCTACATCTCCTGACTATAGGGATCTCGGAGGCATGGCTGGACTGTGGGCTGGGACTGCCAGTCTGCTGGTGGAAGTACACTATAGGGTGGAGATTGTGGAACAAAATGGTATGGTGGCAGTACAGGCAGCAGCTAAGGTGGCCTCCGTTTGCCCCAGGATGAGCTGATCGGGCGGGAACTGGAGGCCTCAGGCCAGGTGGGCGGCTGCACAGCCCTGGTGGCTGTGTTCCTGCAGGGAAAGCTGTATGTGGCCAATGCGGGGGATAGCAGGTGAGTGAGCTGCCCCTTGGAGGGTGGGCAGGGGTGGGGTGGGCAGGGCACAAAGAAGCAGTGGGGACATTAAAAGGCAGCTGGAGGTGGAGGGTTAGAAATGGGAAGGATTGCCTGGTTGAGTTGTGTGTATATGGGGCATGTGTCGAGTGTGAGGGTGACAGTGGATGCCAGGGAGAGCAGGGGCCTCAAGTGCCAGGCTGAAGGGCTAAGCCTTTTACCCTGCAGGTCCCAAGCAGTCATGGAGGGCTTTGAGCAAGGCATCAGCATGGGCAGAGCTGGGTCCTGGTGGTTGGAGGAGGTGCTGGCAGGAGAGTGGCTATGGGTGAGGGCAGAGGCTGCCTCAGACTTCTCCCTGCCTACCTCACCCCCTTCCAGGGCCATCTTGGTACGGAGAGATGAGGTGCGGCCACTGAGCTCCGAGTTCACCCCAGAGACTGAGCGGCAGCGGATCCAGCAGCTGGTAGGTACCCTTGGCAGGGGGAGGCTGTGGAACCCCAACTCTAGGGCCACAAGAGGGAATGTGACCTGAGCACAGCCTCCCCACCCTAGGCTTTTGTCTACCCTGAGCTTCTAGCTGGTGAGTTCACCCGACTGGAGTTCCCTCGGCGGCTGAAGGGGGATGACTTGGGGCAGAAGGTTTTGTTCAGGGATCACCACATGAGCGGCTGGTGAGTGGGGTCAGTGGACGTAATGGGAAGGTAGAGCCTGGAGTCCAGGGCCAGCTGTGAGGCATGGGGCAGGCCCCTCTACCTGGGCAGGGGGGGCTGAGTTGGGGCAAGGTGAGGTGGGGTGTAGAACCTGGGTTGATGCTGGGTCTGCCCTGGTAGGAGCTACAAACATGTGGAGAAATCGGATCTCAAGTACCCACTGATCCATGGACAGGGAAGGCAGGTCAGTGCCTGGTCTCCCTCTAAGATTCCCTCTTCAGTTGTTCCCTGCAGAAGTGGGAGCTCCTGTGTCCCTTACTGGTTGCTGTGGCTGGTGTCTTGGGGTCTGCTCTGAGGGGGTTTTCTTCCTCAGCCCAGGGCTCCCGAGGGCCACAGTCCACCTCTCCCTGTGTGTCCCATAGTGCTCAGGCCTTGTACTTGTGCACTACTGGGGCTGTTTGCTATCACCTCCTATTTCACTTGCTCCCAGGCTCGGTTATTGGGAACACTGGCCGTCTCTCGGGGCCTGGGAGACCATCAACTCAGAGTCCTGGACACAAACATCCAGCTCAAGCCCTTCTTGCTCTCTGTTCCACAGGTGAGAGGACAATGTCTTCCACCCCAGTTTCCATCTGCCCAGAAAGGCAGACAGTGGGGCTGGTGGTAGTAGGGAAGGGAGCGCTGAAGCATCCTCAGGCTTAACTTGCAGGTGACTGTGCTGGATATGGACCAGCTGAAGCTGCAGGAAGAGGATGTGGTTGTCATGGCGACAGATGGACTCTGGGATGTCCTATCCAATGAGCAGGTGGCACGGCTGGTACGGAGCTTCCTCCCTGGGAACCGAGAGGATCCACACAGGTACTGTAGCTGCTGGGGACCTGCCTGGGCCTGGGTTGGTGCCAGCAGCAACCCTAAGTAGTTATAGCTAAGATAGTACTGACAGTGAGCCTGACTTAGGGCAGGTGGCCAGGATCAAGGCCATCTCAAACTTCCTGAGGGAAGAGGGGAGACTGAATTTTAAAAACCACTTTAGCCAGGCAAAGTGGCATTTGCCTGTAATTCCAACTATTTAGAAGGCTGAGGTGGAACTGCAGGTTGAGGCTGTGTTGGCCATGAGTGTGTCACCGTACTCCAGCCTGGGTAGCAGAGTGAGACTCCAACTCAAAAAAACACAAAAAACAAACAAAAACAAACAAAAAAATCCTGGGTCTTGACTCTCATAATCCAACCTGTGGTCCTCCTGGGCTAGTTGCTTGCTCCTTCCAGTCAGACTGCATTATTTGGGTCTCTAAGTGTCTACTCCTGTGCAGTGAGTGCTCCTGGAGGGCTAGACTTGCCCCTTTGTTTGGCCCCCGAAGTATATCTGCAGGATGGTCTTCACAGGTTCTCGGAGCTGGCCCAGATGCTGATACACAGCACACAGGGGAAGGATGGTCCCACAGGGGAAGGGCAGGTGTCCTACGATGACGTCTCTGTGTTCGTGATTCCTTTGCACGGTCGGGGCCAAGAGAGCAGTGGCCGCTGAGGATTCAGACACTGCATCCAAGAACTATTCCAGTGCCAGGTGTGGTCTGGGCATCCCTCCACTGTGGCCAAGAGCAAGTCCTGCCTGCCCTGTCCCCAGCCACAGCCCAGTGCCCTGACCATTCACCTCAACTCACAACTCTGTGAAGATGAACTAAATTTTACACCAGGCAGTCAGAGGTGGAAGGATGTGGAGAGCCCATCTCACCAAGTCCAGCCTTCTGCGGTGGTAACATCTCTCTGGACTTTACAACTTGGGAAACCCATGCGTGGCTCCTCAGACAGGGTCTCCAACAGCCTAAAGAATTATTCCCAGAAACACCCAGGCTGGTGCCGGGTGCAGTGGCTCATGCCTGTAATCCCAGCACTTTGGGAGGTGGAGGCGAGAGGATTGCTTGAGCTCAGGGGTTCGAGACCAGCCTGGGCAACTTGGCGAGACCTCGTCTCTACAATAAATAAAAAAATTAGGCATGGTGACATGCACTTGTGGTTCCAGCTACGTGGAAGGCTGAGGTGAAGGATTGCAGGAGCCCAGCAGGTAGAGGCTGTGGTAGCCGTGAGCATTTCACTGCCCTCCAGCCTGGATGACAGAGTGAGACGCTGACTCAAAAATAAAATAAACGCCGGGCTCGGTGGCTCAGCCTGTAATCCCACGCCTTTGGGAGGCTGAGGTGAGTAGACTGCCTGAGCCCGCGGGTTCGAGACCCGCCTGGGCAGCGAGACCTCATCTCTCAATAAATCAAAAATCAGCCGGGCGTGGTAGTGCATGCCTGTAATTCCAGCTACTCGGAAGGCTGAGGCGGAAGGATCGCTGGAGCCCAACAGGTCGAGGCTGTGGTGGCCAGGAGCAGCCACTGCACTCCAGTCTGGGCGACAGAGTGAGACTCCAACTAAAAATAAATAAATAAATAAAATAAAATAAACACCCAGGCTGAGGTCATTAGCCAAAGAGGCTGGGAGATACACATAGCCCTTTGGATCCAGGTCTCCAATCCAGATGTCACAGTATCCATTCAGGAACCCCCAAAGTCCATGTAAAAACCTTTGGGCAGCCTCACATCTGCTAGAACAGTTACTTTGAAGACAGTCCCTAAAGAGACCAGCTCAGGTCCCACCCTGCTCTCAGCTTCTGGAGGTGAGGCACAGGCCTTGGGGCTAAAGTTGGCCACAAGTGAAAGGGCAACAGAAGCTCCTGGAGTTGGTGAGCGGTTGCTTCTCCTGGCCCCAGCCTTGTCCTAGTCTAACATGCCTTTGCTTTGTTGTTTCCCATCAACTCCCTATTATTAAATGTTTGTGTACAGAAGAGCCTTTGTGAATTGTGAATTGCTGTAGAGCCTGGATTAAGGATACTTTCCAGTGGCTTAGTTTTAGCTCCACCTTTCAAGCTTGCATATCATCAGAACTGCTTGTTTTTTTCTGTAGTCTTCTTAGTTCTCAGCTTGGGTGAGACCCAGGGAGAGTTCTTGTCCAGAGAACAGAAAGGAGGTTTCTACCACCACTTGTGAGCTCTGGGCTTCAGATACCAGAAGGGTATCTCAACAAAGAGCTTTTCACTTTTTTTAAGTAAGACAGGTCCATGTTGTGGGAGCTGGTTTTGAACTCCTGGGTTCTAGAGATCCTCCCACATCAGCCTCCCAAGTAGCTGCCTGGCTGGCTCTCTTACTTTTGAAGGCAAATTTCTGTGAAGCTAGAGACAAGTTAGTTGTTGGCCCTAGGGCTTGCTGCTTAATGAGCAGCTCAGTTCCTCATCTCCACGACTTTTGTTCTTTTTTTTTTTTTCAAGTGAGAAAGCAAGATTTATGGAGAGGACAGAAAAGCTCCCACAGTGGGAAAGGACCCAAGGGGTGGCCTGCTCTTGTTATCTAAAACTAACCAGGTTGCAAGTGCTCAGGAAGTATTTGTGGAATCTTAAAGCCATCCAACCACCTTTGACCTCAACCACCAATGACCTCAACTGTACCTGACTCTTCTCTGATTTATTCCTACTTTAGTTTACAATTGAGATGGATTCTCTTACCAGGCAACTCCCAGCCCTAACTTGCAGCCAGGTATAAGATCTAGTAGGTCCCAGAGTCAATAGTAAAACTTGTATTTAACTCATCTGCCAGGCCCTCAGACCCCCTTTGCTGCCCATTAACTCACTATAGATTTCATTTCCTGTATGTTCTCTAGGGAAGGTAGGAAAAATGTCAGACATTCCCCATTTTGTCACATAGTTATATCCCACAGCATAGGACTTTCAGGCCTGAAACTGTTCACAGCTGGGCCCTGACAAACTAGTTGGCCTTGGAAACTCTGGGTGGCCTCTGCAAGACTCCTCCAGTCAGGCAGCTGGCAAATGCAGGAGTGCTGCCCGACCAGCCTATAGGAGTTTCACGTCCTCTTTCCTCGCACAGCCTTACCCCTCCTACCTAAACGAAGAAAAAAGTGAGGGCAGCATCCTGTGCCTGCATTTTACCCACATCAACTGCAGAGCAAACAGCCTGCTCGCCTGGCTTCTGACCCAGCCTATTCTTGTTTCTCACATCACAAAGTTAAAGTCTGGGGAGTGGGTCTCAGCTGCAAGAAGGCCAGAGACAAGAGTGGCTACTACAAGGGCAACCACACTGACCCACTTGTTCCTGTCTCCCAGCAGAACCAAACACCACAGCAGCCCTTCCACCAGGCCACGAGTTGGGGGGGGGGGTCTCTTCCTCTTTAGCCAGTATCAGGAGAGCCTGTGCATGGCCTACCACACACACAAGCCAGGCTGTTCCCTCTGCCACTGTCAGAGTCTCTAGCCAACCTCCAATGACCTTGGGTAATGTAGCTGGCCCAAAGTTTTCTTCTCTGCTTCAGAGGGTTAGGCAAGAGACAGGAAACAGGTCCTGCAGCTCTGAGGATGCTGAGCTCTAGTCAGGCAATGGGTTACCAAGCAATTGGCCAGGCCTTCTGCCAGATCAAAAGCAGGAGCCTCAAAGAGAACCCTTATTCTTGCCCACCAGAACCTGGGCCTAGCAAGATGAAACTAACTCCAACTAGAGGCTGCCAATCTGACAAAGGGTTGAGGTGAACAGCAGGGGATGCAAGGCAGTGTGAGGTATGTACCAGATATAGTCTTTAAAGATCCAGTTTGGCTTGGGTTTGCCTTTCCCAATCATTCATTTCTGGCCCTACAGCTGTTTATTAGAGCCTGGGGTTGAAGGTTGAGTCTAGGGGTTCCTCCCACCAGTCCACAGGCCTTGGTTACCAGGGGCAATCCCAGGGAGCCCAACAATCCATCCGCACAGCATTACAGCGAGCTCCAGTGTGAGCCAGAAGAACTAATAAGACAACCCAACTCTCTGCAACTCTAGGAACCAGGAAAACAATGCTACAGAAACTCAATGGAAAAGGCTATAGCCATAAAATTCTGTTTAAGACTGGTAACATGGAAAAAAATGTTTATATGTTAAGTACAAAAGGGACATAAAATTGTATATACAGTAGAATAACAACTATGTAAACACACCAAAAACCTATGCACAGAACATTTAACACCAAAAGAGTAACAGTGGTAGTATTTGGGTGGCAAACTGATTTTTTATAATTTCCAAATGTTCCTTAAAAGCAGTAATTATAATTGCAATGGGGAATAATTTAAGAAAACAAACCTCTAGCTGGTGGTTGAGCAATGCAGTGTCACTGTCAAACACAAACAGCAGCTTTGGCCCTGACTCAAGAGGGTGGCGAGTGGCCCTGCCCCCATGAAGATAGCTGGAGCACCTCTGACTGCCACTGAGAGCATCAGTGCAGTCCAGCCCTCCATCTCTCCCTTGTTCTGCCCTTATCCCACATCTCCAGCTGCATCTTGTCCCTTTCCTTTCCAATCAGGAGCTAGCTTTGCAGCCGCAGGGCCTATAACTAGAGGCCGTGAAGTGGTATGTTTTCAAAAGACATGTGCCTCAGTTTTGGATACAGGGACTCAAATATAAATCATTTTTCTGCTGCTGGGCAAGTCATGCTTGGTAGCTGCTCTGGTTACAGATACAAGTTATGCAGCCTTGTCAACCCAGTTCCAAGCACTCTCCCCGAACAGTTAATCCTATCATGAATTTTTTTTTTTGCCCTGAAAAGCCAGGGGTGGGCAGTGACAGCTCTGGTAATTTGGTTTCTGAAAGTCCCTCCACTCTGGGAAGGCAGAGCTACACAGTTGGCAGCATCATGACAGGGGCAGATTCCAGTCTACATTTGGGAAGGGTGTATGCCTCTTGGACATTCAGTTTGAGGAACAAGTTAAAAAAGTAACTGCATAAAAAAAAGTGCTAGCGATTTACAGTCTATTCCTGCTGCTGAACAGAAGCAGTGAAGGCTTGATATACTCCCTAGCAGCTATGTCTTGGGCAAGTCATAACTTTGTTGCGCCTCAGTTTCTGGATCTGCAGGGAGTGTTGTTGCCTGCATAAATGTTTGTTTGGGAACTTAGTAATGTAATATGCCACTCACTCTGCTCTAAGGCCATGCAGGGGAAGAAAAGGCCACGAGCAAGCTGCAGCTCATCTCGACCTAGACCTGACTAGAGCTCCTTCTTCTAAGAGAAAGCTAGGAAAAGCAGCAAGAAAACAGACATAACAGGTCAACAGGTGCGATACTGGCAAAGAGGTCCCAGACAGACTAAAAATGTTCTAGTTCTAGCAACCTGTCCTCAACTGCCACAAGCCAGACACAGAAGCCATGCAAGAGTGACTGTCATACACATACAGGCGCAGACAGAGCATCACCAGGCAAAAAGGGGGCTAATACTGCAGAAAGGGCCCCAAAGTGCGGCCTGAAGAACACAGGGAGCCATCCCAAGATCCTCACTTAGCTGCCTTAGAAAACAGCAAACACTATGAGCTTTGCTTCATTCGGTCTCCTGAAAGAAAAAACGGTAACAGGGAAGACTAACACTTCTGGCAAGCACTGTTAGCAAGGATGGTCTTTCTCCAGGGCTGTGGGACTCTCTCTCTTTCAGCTGAACTCTCAGAAATTACAGATGAGAGATATATATGCATACACAAACACATATATATATGCATATAGGTATGCACACAGATGTATTAAGTGAAGGTGCATACATTGTGCTAAAATACAAACAAAAGTCATATATAAAAAGGCTAAATATAACATATAACACAGGCCTAGAACCAGCTGAGAAAAGGGGTGGTATCATCTGAAGACTATGTACACAATTTGTGGTGGGCAGGGAAGGCATCAGTGTAAACAACTCAGACTCACTTCACAATACTGGCCCACAGGAAAGCATGATGTATCTCATGTACAAAAATAGACTCCCACCTTGCTTTTGTACAAACTAAGCTTGGTAGGCACCCAGGAGGATCATGGGTTTGTCTCGATGACAAGGTACTGCACCAGGCTGC